CCCCCCCCCCCTCCATCCATCCATCCATCCATCTCCTTCTTCTTTTTGGACCTCGTTAAGCAGTCTCCCTCCATCTCTCCATCCTCCCATCTCGCCATCCCTTCCCCCCCTCCCTCTAGTTCTTCTTCAACATTGGTTAGCAGCCTTCCTCCGTCCCTCCATCCTCCCATCTCGCCATCCCTTCTCCCCCTCCCTCTAGTTCTTCTTCAACATTGGTTAGCAGCCTTCCTCCATCCCTTGATTCTCCCATCTCGCCATCCCTCCCTGCCTCGCTCCATCCATCCATCCATCTTCTTCTTCTTCTTCTTCTTCTTCTTCTTCTGCTGCTGCTGCTGCTCCTTCTTTTTCTTAGTCGTTGTTTAGCAGTCTCCATTCCTCCATCCATCATCCCATCTCGCCGTCCCTCCCTCCCTCCCTCCATTCATCAATCCATCTTCTTCTTTGTCTTCTCCTTCTCCTTCTTTTTCTTCTTCTTCTTCTTCTTCATCATCTTCTTGAACATTGTTAAGCTGCAGGGAGAGAATTGGAGCTGCAGGGAGGAGGTGGTTGCAACACTATGGTTGGTGGGAGCAGTGCAAGGGGTGCGATTGCTGGACAAGGAAGTCGGAGGCAGTTGGAAAGAGAAGAGGGCAGCGGGAAGGACATCACCAGCTCAAGTACACCTTCGTCGGGGGTGACTTCTAAAGACCCCACACCGGCAACTGACCCCTCGCTGTTCGTCCCACAGCCTGAAGAAAGGCAAAAGAAGCTGCAGGGAGAGAAGGAGATATGGAAGCACGTGGAACAAGGGCAGGAGGCTGTGCCGAAGGGCCGGGGAGAGTATTGGCTGAGGTGTCGGCTATGCTCGACCATTTGGAGGGGCACGAGCACATGAGCAGTTGAGCACTTCATGAAGATGCTCAAGTCGTGCCCTTTCCGGACAAGGGAGATTGTGCATAAGCTGGTGGCCCAAGGGGCGAAGGTGCTGCCAAGCGACAAGAAGACTCACTACCTATTGCAGAACTACCGGCAGTTGCACAACATCAAGGAGGGGGGGGCTGCAACAAACGACGATGATGCGGACGCGGTTGTTCGTCATGGTTACGAGGAGCCACAACCGCCGGTTGCTGCAGGGAGGGAGGCGGTCAAGGAGACGGCGCAGCGGGGAAGTGCAGCGGGGGAGACGCTGCGAGAAGAGTGTCAATCCACCACAAGGGCGGTTCCGGTGCAGCAAACAACCATCACGAGATGGGTGGACAATGCAACTCAAAAGAAGTTGGACATTGCATGGGCGGAGGCAATGTTCCGGGCGGGAATCGCGTTCAATTTTTTGAACTTCGACACCACTCTCAAACTGCACGAGGTGATTTGGAGATGACCAGCTCACGACCGAAGGTGAAATTGCCTTCTGCGAAGCACATCCAGACGATGATGCTCGACTTCATCTTTTTGCGCATTCAAAAGCAAGTGCAGCCTCTGACTACATGCTGGGATGTCACGGGCTGCACTTTCATCACGAACGGGTCGACCGATCGAAGGGAAAAACCTGTCATGAATTTCTTGGGGGCGGGGGAGCAGGGAGCGGTGCTGGTGGCAACGGTGTCGATGGATGGAAGGAAGAAGACCGGACCAGCGCTGGCCAGACTTTGGGAGAAGATAATGAGGGAGATCGGGCTGCAACGCATCAATGCAATTTGCACCGACAATGCGGAGGTGAACAAGAAGGCCGCACAGATTTTGGAGTGGCACACGGATTTGGCGGTTTCACGGATACCTTGGGTTCCGTGTGCTGTGCATTGCTGCAGCTTGCTGCTTCGGGACATCAGCAAGTTGGATTGGATGAAGGGCACGGTGAAGCGGAGCCACACCATTGTCAAGTTTATACGGAACCACCACTGCACACATAGCCTAATGATGTCGTTGGATGACTCATTATTGCTGTTGCGACCAACTGAGGTCCGTTTTGGGTCGGTCTACATGATGATGGAGCGGTTGTACGATCGGAGGGCGATTTTGAAGCAGATGGTCGAAGGGAGCCTAGTCGGGAGATGGAAGGCGATGCGGTGGTCGACGACGAAGCTGCAGTCCAAGGCGGATCTTGTCTTCTTCACATTGCGGAGTGAGGGTTGGTGGCCAGAGTTGAAGAAGGTGGTGGAGGTGATGGAGCCATTGTATGTATTGCTTCGGAGGATGGACAAGGACGGGACTGCCCCGTCAAACCTTGTGGAGTACGACCGGCTAATGGAGAGGATGCTGGCGGAGATCGTGCTGACAGAGGAGCAGCGACGTATGGTGCTCGAGAAGGTGAGGGACTGCATGAAGATGATGCCGCAACCGGTACACGCCTTGGCTTTTCTTCTCGACCAACGGAGGAGAGAGCCGAAGTGGTTGTTGGACCGGGACAACGCACTTGTGCAGAATGCTCTACGTTATTTGCAACGGCGGATCGGCGGTGCTTGGAAATCAGACGCCCACGTGCAGATTCTCAGCGACCTGCGAGAGTTCCACACGAAACCGACCGGGTACAACCCCCGGCGGAAGGACAAGAAAATGTGGGATGGTGATGCGGTCGCAAATTCTAACACCATCTCGCCATCGGAGTGGTGGGCAACTCATGGTGGCGATGTGCCGGAGCTACAAGCCATTGCCATGAAAGTAATGGGCATGTGGAGCTCGGCGACTCCGGCGGAGCGGAATTGGTCTTCGATGGACTTGGTCCACTCGAAGCGGCGGAATCGGTTGAACCCCTCAACCTTGGAGAAGTTGGTGTATATTCACTGGAATATGCAGCTGCTGCACTCCGGGAAGAACTTGAAGGACGCCGGCTACATCGACTTGTGGACGCAGTTCTTCGAGTCTCTTTCGGAGCCTGAGGTGGACGATGGTTCTATTTTGAAGGACTCCTTGGAGGAGAAGGACAAGACGAAGGACGAGCTGGTGCGGGAACGGGCCTTCATCAAGACACCAAAGGGCCGGATTCCGAAGAGCCTCGAAGACGAGGAGAAGGAGGAGAAGTGCACCGATGACAGCGACCTTGACGACGAGGTGTGGAAGGGGAAGACTCCATGGTCGGAAGCGTCTAGCGAAGGGGAAGATGATGAGTCATTGGACGATGACTTTGAGTTGGGAATCCCGCCGTCAACACCGTGCACTACATATGTTGGGAGGAGGGAAGCAGCACAGCGCCGTCGAGAACGGCCGCCCACAACACCATCTCAATGCACGGCGAACACCACAGCGCATTACAACATCCAATCGGATGTCGAGGTACCATAGACCGACACCGACATGGAGATGGTGCTTCACCGCCGTCCAATTGACACAGACGAGGAGGAGGCCGACCGTGCAAAGGCATGGGCTGATGCGGATCAAGAACGGGTGCAAAGGAGAATGAAGGAGGAGGAGGAGCGACGTGCAGCTATACCAACCCGCAGAGAACTGGAGAAACTGAAGAAGAAGGTTGAAGAGCAAGAATCGGAGCCAGCGGGGAATATGGGCCGGCTAGAGGAGGAGAAAGAAGAGGCGACAGGCCAGCGAGAGGAGGAGGCAGAACACGAGATTGGCCAGCCAGGAGGAAGAAGAAAAGATGGAGGAGCAAGAGGAGGGAGAAGAAGAGGCTGGCATGGAGCAACGAGAGGAGGAGATGGAACAGGAGCAAGGGGAGGGCACGGACCAGCAAGAAGAGGAGCTGGAGGAGAGTGAGAAGGAGCAGCAGCAGGAAAAGACCGCGAACATTGAGGAGGAGCAGCAGCAGCATGCACCGACGACCGTGTACAAGCGTCGGAAGCGAACTGTGGAGGCTGCTGGCTCATCGGAGAATTCCCCCGACTTCCCAGCCAACAAAGCGGAATCCCAACACGACAACCTGTGGGTCAGCAGGGTTGGAAGGAAGAGGAAGGCGCCCTGTGAGGACGAACGATCGAAGCCAGAACTTCCACGGGGCAGGCCTCGGAAGAACGCAACTGCGGATCCGGCTGCAAAGCCGAAAAAAAAACAACAGCGGTGCAAACAAATTGTTGAGGATGACCCCGAATCCAGCAACTGCAGCGAGCAGTTTGCCGAAGACGAGGGTGGCACCGCTGACTGAGATGGTGTGTTCGTGTTTGTGAGTGCGTGTGGAGAGAGAGAGAGAGAGAGAGAGAGAGAGAGAGAGAGAGAGAGAGAGAGATGTGTTCGAATGTGGACGGATATTGGCTGTATGCAGCTGATATGCTGCTAAAGAACTCATAGATTTCCTGCAAGTTGTCAGTCTAAAAGTCTTCTTCTTCGTCTTGTCAATCTTATCAGTCTTCTTCTTCTTCTCCTTCTCGTCAGTCTTCTGCATTTTTTGTCAGAATGAAAGGGTCGATAAACGACGA